TCCCAACAAGGGTGATGATGGTTGTAGTAACTGGGGCTGGTAGACGTAGTAGTAGTAGTAGTAGTAGTAGTAGTAGTCGTAGTCGTAGTAGTAGTAGTAGTAGTAGTAGTAGTAGCAGTAGTAGGAGAAGGAGGAGGAGTAGTAGTGGTGGTAGTAGTAGTAGTAGTAGTAGTAGAAGTAGAAGTAGTAGTAGTAGTAGTAGTAGTAGTAGTAGTAGTAGTAGAGGTAGTAGTAGCAGTACTAATAGCAGTAGTAGTAGTAGTAGTAGCAGCAGCAGTAGTAGCAGCAGTAGTATTAGCAGTAGTAGTAGTAGTAGTAGTAGTAGTAGTAGTAGTAGTAGTATAGTACTTGCAGTAGTAGTCGTGGTAGTGGTAGTGGTCGCGGGTTAGAACATGATGGGCCAGAGGAGCTGAGTAGGCGTGTCAAAGATCAGTGTGTTCTGAGTACTTCCCTTTCTTGGACATGAGGAGATGTATGGATGGCCTTATGAGAACAGCACTAGCAACAACAGAACACTGACAACTGGCTATGTAGAGAACTGAGGCCCAGACCTGGAGATCTCCTCTAGTCTGAGGGGTGGTTATTGTGTTTTCCCCCGCCTATTCGGGGCTTGAAGCAAGGACACAGCACGTAGATGCATCCTTATAAAGGCCTTTGCTTTGCCTGGGGCGAGAGGAGTGGGCAGTCCCTCTCGCCCCAAGTAAAGCAAAGGCATTTAAGGATGCATCTACGTGCTGTGTCCTTGCTTCGAGCCCCAAATGTCTCTCTCTCTCTCTCCCCCTCTGCCGTTGCATCCAGACTGCCTCTGCCTGCCTGATTGAGTCAGAGAGAGTCTGCGAATGTCTCTCCCTCTCTCATTTTTTATCTGGGTTAGTAAGGGGCGAGGGCAGGGAGAACAGGCGGTGCGCTCTCGCCCTCGCTCTCCTTCGCTCCGTCTCTCCCGGACCGTCTTTGTCGATCTGTCTGTGCCTGTGTGTCTCTGAATTTCTCTTGCTGAGTTGGCTCATGCACGTGCATCTATGTGCGGGTGAGTGGGGGCTCTGCCCAACCAAAGACCCTAGAAAATCAAGTCCTACGACCCCCTAAGCAAGTTGGGAGGGACCTCGTCAAGAGAGGTCGGCACCACCTCTGCGGTGGCCAAGAGCCACATTAAGCTGCTGAGGAGGGCAAACCATAGGACGAGCTTGAAGATTGCCTCAAAGGCCAGGGCGGCTAGGGACGAGGTCAACTGCAATTTTGCCTCCGCTCTGCGAGGGAGGCTTCAGCTTCTTTGGGTTTAGGGTTGCGGTATGTTGCCACCAACATGATGGCTTGCGTGGAGATGGATGTGGTGCTTCGGAGCTCTGGACGATGCGATGCTTGGGGCATGCGGCGTTTGGCTTCCGCCTCTGGGATGGGGGCTACCGCTGTTCCTGACACGTGCTCTCGGTACAATGAAATCTTGCACCGCCCTGGTGGCCTCGAAGCAAGGCGTCAGCATCATCGTCGGCATGCTGAAGACGCACTCCACAGCAACTCGCACACAGCCTGTCGCCTGTTTGATGCTCTGGCGGATTGCCGCGAGGCCACAAGCCATGAAGAAGAAGGTGAACAGGAGGAGCATTCCTAGCACCTCGGAATCCGCAGCAGAAAGCAATGTGAAATGCCACCTGGCGATCCGAAGGCCTTCAGAAGCACGGACAGCCTATATGTACACGACCCGGTGAATGTCTTATCGAAAATTCCCTGCTTGCTTTCGGAGCACCTTGGAGACCCACTGGGCGTACTCCGTGTCAAAAATCTTGTACAGGCTGTTGGTATTCTGGTAATGTGTAAGCCAGCTCCCAGACAGCTTGCTGGCGAGCAAGAAATAGATGCCGAGGGTCAGACTCGCGACCATCACAATCACAATGCTAGCTATGCTGGTCCCATAGGGCGCACACCTCCGGCTCAAAGGGAACCAAGCACCGCTCCCCGTTTCCCCTTACTTTTAGGCCCCATTTCTCCGGGCCTGAGTGCGAAGAGGTAGAGGTAGCTGAAGACGACGGAAAGTAGTACCGCGATCACCACCGACTGCCAGGAGCGACGCAAGCTCCCCAAAGCCGCGGCTGTGCGGAAGTAGCCGTTTCCGATGGGTCCATGGCTATCGAGAAGCTCCTGGCGGCCCAGAGCTTAAACTGAGATGCTCTGAGCTGTTAAAAAAAGACATGAGAGGCCTGGCTAAGCGGGTCTGATGCTGGCTCGACGGATTCGACCTGACATACAAGAACCGAGCTCCTGTACCAGGGGCTCGTCCCCGAGGATGTGCCCCTGCTTCTCGTGAAAGCGTGGCACACAGAACATGCCGGCAAAGGCCTGTGACGGGTATGTGTGCTTTCTCACTGTCCTCGTTTGGATGGTGATCTGCTCGTCCGGGAATGACCCGCCAAGATCTTTGACATGTGCTTTCGGGTTGTCGAAGCAATGCACAGACAAGAGCTCTTGGCTGGGGCATTCGGCCATGCAAATCGGATGTTTGATATCCAAATCTGCTGCGTGGCCATGCAGGGTCTGGTTACCTTTGGGGCACCAGAAGAGCATCGGCTTATCCTCCACGGCCTTGTCCACTCCACATAGCTGACCCTTGTAATCAAAGCCATGAGTCAGCTTCTGTGGTTGCCCGGTCTGGAAGGCATAGATGCTAATTCCCACCATGCAGGCCACATAGCCCAAGAAGACCGCTAGGCAGGGCACATCGGTGCAACTCCTGTCAAACTTGGTGGCAAAGGCAAGCCCTACTCAATAATTCCCCTCTCACACGCGAGTCGCTGTCAGCCCACAGCAGAAAAATCCTCCAACGGTGCCAAGATGAGCTGAGGTTAGCGAAACATGCTAATACGGCTCAAGCTCCAAGTGATGTGCGTAGGCTTTCAACATGCTGCTTTTCAATTTCTGGCCCTTGCAGCCTAGACTGGTGATCAGTGAAGACATGCGAAGTCGAGGCCTAGCCGCTACCGCTAGCCCCGAGAAAAGTCTCCTGCTGGGCATCCCGGAGCCATCAGCAGCATGGTCATCACTGAAATGCGTCTCACTGGCCATGGATCGAGCCATGGCCTTGAGACTATTGGGCCAAGCTGCGGGGGTAGAGGCATGACATGGTGACGACGGCATGGTCGTGGTGTGGCCATGGTTGAAAAGCGATCGTGTACTAGGGTTTGTCTTCCTGTTTTTGGCGATGTCTCTTCGGGGTGCTAAGAGTTCTTGAAACATCCGGTCGTGAGAACTGTTAGCTGTCAGTACCCTTCGAGCTGACTCCGTCAAGACTCGAACACGGCTTACGTGCTGGCTGCCGTGAGTTCCGCTCAGTGGCAGCCCGCCAGCTAACATTCCCACAGATCTTGTGAACGACACGCCCCAACCTCCACACACCTCGAATGCTTGGCCTCCGAATGCTTTGGCCCGAAGGCCACAGACACAAAGTGTTCTGTGATGTTTCCCACAGAGTCAAGGTTGTCCTAGGTCCGTCTTCCGTCTCCTCATCTCGGCCAATTGCAATGACAGTTATAGACATTGACAAGCAGCCACGGCAAAGCCTGTTATTTGTAGGGCGCCGTCCCTGGATGTTGAGAGTCGGCACAAAACATCCACAACCCGTGTCTGTTTCACCCCTGAACCACAGACCACCTATGTTAAGAGCTTTCGGGAAAGAAATTGGAACGTCTTCAAGGTTTGGACTGCTGGGTATCCACTCGAGATCACTTGTTTTACCAGGAGAATCGACACATGACTCTTGGGGCATTCGCGAGCACCAGACCGTGACAGGTAGGAATACCGATAGGCGCCTTGACTCAGCGTCATGGGCCCCAATCGGTTGCATGCACACAAACTTACACCAGCACGACTACTGCAAGCGCTGATGCACCAGGTAAGACGCGCCAAAGTCCACGGCTCCTCAAGACGGGGACGTGACATTCGCAGCACCTTATTGAGTGTACTCTCTAAAAAGCATGCGCAAGCTTTTCTTGATCATGTCTCTATGGCTTCATTTTCCACCCAGTGCGTGTCGACTTGTACAGCGCCGGGCATGAGCGCGGCCGGCAGCTCTAGCCCTAGCTGGACTCCGAGTTCCGAAGTTTCCCAGATCAGCTATGCATTGCCATCTTCGTTCGGGGCCATCTACAGCCGAAAATTCGGCAGGAAAACGGTGGATGAAGCTGAGGCGGTAACCTTAACCATGCACACCGAACTGGACTTGCAGTCGGCGTGTTTGAGTTCCGACGACATAGTGAGCTGCCAAGATTTTTCGTGAAACATTGCGGTGTACACTGTGTACACCAGTGCCTGGAACGACATCTGAGCTGCATTTCTGCAGAGGATGCTCTTGCGAATGTGTACCACTGCATAGGGGCCCCCGGCTCACTTGGGAGGATACTGGCGTGCTCCAAAGATTGACGAACCCACGCGCACAGAGGTGCCTGGGTTTTGGAGCTTCGGCTTTCCAAGGGTATAGGGTTTAGGGTTGCTTCACAGGCTTTTCTGAGCGAATGAGCTTGGGCAACGACGGGTACTTTTGCTCCTGAGCCTTGAGATACCATCGAGGTAAATCCATGCGGATGTTGAGCTCCCAATCTAATAGTCTCACGACCAAACTTGATACTCCGTGTTTCGGTTAGATGTTGTGTACAATACCGAGCACTGGGGCGGTTGGCATTTTGTGGAACGCAAAATGCTGCCCGCACAAAAGGGTAAATCAGCTAACCATGCCCCACAAATCTCCACCGGCAACCCTTGCCCTGTTTCCATTGGACGCCTAACATAACAATGCGGCCCTGGCGGATGACTTCAACGATGTCATGCCGTAAACCTACGCAAGATGGGTTGCTGCCCTCGACAATGGCGTTTTCGTAGTCGGCGCTCATGCCCATGCTGAGTTCCTGAGTGGGCAAGAGAGGCCCTGTGCAGCGCAATACATTCGCAAATGGATCAGAGCAATAAGAAAGCATGCAGCAGCATGCACGCAGTAATACCAGTACAAATAATGATACTGACAATGATACTGGTAGATGATGATACAAAGTCTACGACCGTGCCCTTACACCCAAAGATGGGCCACCTCCCCCTCCCAATCAGTTCTCCTCAATCGAAGGCTCAGGATCTTTCTCTCGCGATGCTATGAATGGGCTTCGCCAACTCTTCGCCAATCACAGAGGCTGAAGCTTCTCTGTCTCTTTGCTTTGCTTTGCTCGGGGTACTCTCTCTCTCTCTCGCTCTGTCTCTCTTGCCTGCTTGCTTGCAGGACGTTTGGGGCTGGGGATGCAAGCTCCCCGCCCCGTGCGCATACGCGCTACGCCTCTCTCTCTCTCTCTCTCTCCCTCTTGCTCGCTACGGGTGCACCCACAGCACCCACTCCGGGTGCGAACGCACGTGCCCGAAATCCAGTCTTTCGATTTTGTGTGGTCGGCGGGCGTGACATTGAGAAAACCAGACCCATGGTAGCCCCCTGCTTTCAGGAAGACCCTGTAGGTAGGCTCCTTTCCCTCGCTCTTTCTCCCTCCCTCTCTGTCCAGAACTTGTTCTTCCCGCCCGCGCCCAAAGCGGAAACACCTCCTCATCTTGACCCTGGCGACAAAGGAATGCAACAGCAAGCCTGTTGCTCTGCGTTGCTCTGCGAAGTGTGTTGCGCATGGCAGGTTGACCAGATGCTCTCTGCAAACCATGGCAATAGTCTTCATTGCCAGCACCAGCTTGACACAAGAACAGGTCATGCACCAAGGGTCCAAAGTATCTACACCGCAGCCAATGGCTGCTGCCGCCTCCTCACGGCACTTCATCAACGTCCTAGGCAGAGGGTCAGAGCTAGGCGACTCTGTCTGTAGCCTTGGGCATTTCTTCACCTGGCAAATACCTGCTTATTAGGGACTCTCAGTTTCTCAGCGGAAGTTGTCCCAAAGGCTTTTTGGCGTCGGCTGTGGGACCCCTCTATCTGTGTATCTTTATACCTCTCTTTCTTTCCTTATCTCTATGTATATCTATCCATCTGTCTATCTGTCTAGCTACCCATCGATCTGTGTACCTATCGATCTACCGCTCTTTCGATCGATCTATCTACATATCCATCGGAGCTGCAATATGGCATAGTTCCAATCCGGTAAAGCGTATAGACCGGCAACGCCGTTTCTTCCCCGCCCCATGCTTTACAAAAAATTCTGCCGAGCCACGCGAAGTCCTCCGTGCGGCAGCCGCTGTAGTCCTCTGCATGGCTTCCGACGCTTAAAGCGACAATGAACTCGCACTCGCTTCGCTTCCACGCCCTCGGAACGCAAAGCCTTTCATTAACCTCCCGATGCTCTTTCCCGCCTCATGCTTGTCCCTCTCGACAACACCCTCAAACCCTCAAACAGTTAGGGCTTACAGGCCTTACGCTCTATAAGCTTGTGTTCCCATGTTGTCGAGAAGCAGGGGCGCCGATGGTCATCAGCCCGGCCAGCTCAAGGCCTTCACACTCCTGGCCACGGCGCTTGGCTGGGTTTACTACAGAGACCAAAATAAGACGGCTAATAGTGTTTATGTGGCGAGGGCTTTAGGGGCTTTATTCAAAAATATGTATAGATAGATAGATAGGTAGGTAGGTAGGTAGGTAGGTAGGTAGATAGACAGACCGATAGACAGGGCTCGCTTCTCGAACCCAAGCATATGCAACACTTGATGGTGGGGTTATCTCACACCAGCGAGAATCACATCATTGCCGGCGGACGATGGCTTCGGAAGAATACACATCGACTGGGGGTATTACACATCGGAATTCAGCTAATCTCCATGCAGACGCTGGTCCCAAGAAGTGCACAGCGAGTAGGCCACAGAGTGTCGCCGACTCTGAGGCACATACTGCATGCTGGAGCATTGCAAAATCCCTGGGTTCACCTGCGAATGCTGGGCTTTGGGGTTCCAACGGTCAGTTTTAATTTAAAGACACTGCATCTCATGCTACGACGGGCGTTCACGATCCAAGGAAGGACTCACTCATGCCGCCTGTGTGCTTGTGTAGGCAGATGCGATCTCGGTCACCGGGACCTCGTCCACCGGAAGTGGCCGAGGAAGTGGCTGCCCCCAGTCCGTGAGCATCTGTAATGATCTTGAAGTGATCTGAAGATTGCGGGTAAGGTGCTCGAGGTGCCTCACCAGCTCCTTTCGCCGCACCAGACATGAGAAGTTGTTCGCTTCCGCATCTAGGAATCTCTCTTTCAAGAAACGAAGCTTCTCCATACTGCGGCTGAGTCGGTAGGCAGCGTACTCCTTATCGAGGAGGGCGTGATCGGTGTAGTTACGTGCCAAGTGGAGATCTACCGTGTCCTCTTCGAGGCTCTCCACTGCCAACGTATCTTTCCTACAAAAGGAGATCACGGAGACAATGCGCGTCCAGTTCTCACTGGACTTTGCAGCGTGCTTAACCCGGTTGCCCTGCATGACGTAGGCCCAGCCAGGACCCGGTGCCCGGACCTCATGTGCAGCGCCGGTTGCGTCCTGCATCAGTGTGCCGCCACCGCGGCCGTCCGCTGGGATGTCGGAGAGATTGACCAGCAAGACGAAGCTGTTGGAGTCGTGATGCCAATCGAACACCTTCGTGGCCTCCTTCCCTTTCATCTGGATATTGGTCATCATGTGTTCCACATTGAACGGGTGCCACGCAAGATCGCAACCAACCATGTTGGAGCAAG